TTCCACCTTCTTGGATCATGTTATTTTCTGCTGGTCAGCGTAATTTTTGCTGATTATCATTATTCTAGCTGGTCAGCATTATTTTGGAGGTTTTGGTTTCCTTTTTGCTGCAGATGGTCACTTGTTGATAAGAGTCTGGGCCCCTCATCCTTCCTCAGAGAGCAGATGGGCTTCATATCTTTCCCCCTTGCCAATGTCCTGGTACCGGCTTTTTATTAACAGTTTGCTCTCCATTTCCTGCTGCTGATAACAGCCTGTTTTCCACAGCTTGATCCTCCCATTGTCTTGCCTGTTGGAGTTATCTTGCCTTCTCCAGATGAGACGTATCCTTACCATTCAGAATTCCTATCTAAGCCTGTAACTTGCTAAGAGAAAAGAATATAGTGAAAGCATATAATATATTTATCAGAATAATTGTGAAAAGCCAATATTTACAACATTAATTCACAACACACGGAAGCAGTGGGAGGTCAGGTTGGGATTGTTTAGGGATTGCCTGGCCTTGGCATCAGGATTAGACCCTGAGCACACCAGAGTGAGGAGGAAATGTTTCACCCTTCCCTTGCAGTAGGGATGTCAGAGGTAATCCAAGAAACACACACTGTAAAGGGAAAGTTTATTGTAAAACTTAGATCACAGGATCAGAGAACTGTGAACAAGAACAACACAAGAGGCAGAGGAAACAAAGCACTTTCAGTCAAATTCCTGCCCTTGGGGATTTCCTTGCAAGCCATAGTTGCTCCTGAGTCCTGAGTCTTCCTGTGGCTTTTTGGGTTTGATGGGGTTTGTGCAGTTCCACAGTGGTCCCAGGGTGGCTTCCCCGTCCCACCTCTCTGGTGCACAGCTGCTGCCTCTGCTGCCTGCTGAAAGCTCCAGCTGAGGGCCAGTGGATCCCAGGGAAGAGGCTTTTCCCTGGCCCTTCAGGAGAGCCCACTTGATCCAAGGGGGTACATTCCAGCAGCTGGAATATGAAAATAGAAGGGCAGAAATCTATAACACAATGTAGAATGCTCTCCCGCCCTCTCCAGTAAAGTGAGTGCAAGCAAAGAGCTCCTCCAGCTCAGCTTCCCTTTGGAATAACAGTGCAGATCCTGGGTCCTGAGACTGAGATTGTTCTGCTACAGCTCTGTTCTAACTGTTCTTTGTGGATTGAAAGTCAGGTAAAGAACTGCAAATGTTTCCAAAGCATCTTGATGAGAGCAGTTAGTGAGTACAGCTGGTGTGAGGGATGTCAAAATGTGCTTTCAATTTAGAAAGAGACAGTTTTACCTGCAGGATTCAATTTTCCCTTCCAATGGCCACAACATGTTGTGTACAGATTTTTTGATTGAGCAATTTTTTTCTCAGTGACAAACCAGGCCATAAGTGTTACTTCCTCAAGGACTTCACAGAGCTTTCTCCATCCTGCAGCTGAAGGAGAGAGCCATGAAAGGCACCGATAAAGGAGGAATGATATTGCCTGAAAGGACACAGTAGGAAGGATAATTATTGGAGTCAGACAGGGTCCCAAGAGCCACTGAAGCACATGGGCAGAGCTCTGGTGGCATTCCCTGTTTACTCATCACAGCTCTGTTTTCCTGGTGCCACCCGTTTCTGTGTTGGCTTGAACTTTCCTGAGCAGGAAAAGCCCTCAGGCATCATTTCCACCTGTGATCAATC